CATCTAACACACGACTGAGCTGTCACAAGTGGTCCTGTAGCATCCAAAACAGGACAATAGAGATGTAGGTTCATTCTTACCTCCAGAATCAGTGGGTGGGCAACAGCATCAGGCTTGATCAGGGCTAGTGTGAGCTGGAGAGCCTGAGGGCTTCGCAGGATGGAAGTCATCTCACCCCTGCCATCAGAGGGCTGTATTAGAGCCTCAGGGTGTTGAGTTCTCAGCCCCTTCCACCCTGGAAGCCACCTAGGCTTGCAAGTCAACCAGGGGCTTCCCCCAGCCTCACAGAGCATCGTCAGGCTGTATGTGACCACTCACTTACCTATTTGCACTCATGGGACTTTTTACTACGTTTGTTTGTAGAGGGGACACTCAGGTCACCCTGTGAGACATACAGTCTGCTTTATGCTACGAGTATAAAGGTAGCAGGGAGTTCTCCATTGAAGAGAAATGTGAGTTAATACTACCACCTAATTTTGCCAGAACTTTCACATCTTCTAAACTTTTTTTTGTGTTTTTAACAAGGTTTATGACATCTACTATTGAACAGTCTAGGCATAAGACTACAATGACTTAGGTGGGCAGTGGTGGCGCATGCCTTTAAACATAGCCTTTGGGAGGCAGAGGCAGGTGGATCTCTGAGTTTAAAGGCAGCTTGGTCTACAAAGCGAGTTCCAGGACAGTCAGGGCTGTCATACACAGAAGTCCTGTTTTGAAAAAACAAACAAGACTGCCATAAGGCCTTATCTATAGTGCTCTTCCAGTCACAGAATTGGAAGATAGACTGACAAGAAAAATTAGGTCACCCCAGATAAGAAAAAGGCTTCAGGGCCATAGACCATCTCTTATTTAATATTATGGATGGTCTTCCCTGCTCAACAAACAACTCTGGGAATAACTAACAGACAATATTTCTAGACTTGGTTAAGCATCAGAGGTCACTTTCAACTGTAACATTCTATTTACACGTGAGAAACCACTTCGGCAGGAGGAAAGATCTCAACTGGATGCAAAGGCACAAGCCTGTAATTCCAGCACTTAGAGGCTGACTATACAGCCAGACCCTAACCAAACCATTGCAAACCAACCACGGCCCCGAAATATCATCTCTAACCTGTTAACAAATACAGAGAAGGTGTCCGGGGACACGAGCAGGGCAGAATCAGGTAACGTTCTCATTACTTTCAGCCTGAACATAGCTTAGCCAATCACAGTAGGAGTGCCAGGGGATGGCTATGCTAAGGTCTCTTCCACTCAAGTCTTCTTTACAGTTTATTACTGGAAGATCCATTCAGACTGCGTACCCGAGCCCAATCTACCAGTACAGGACCAGCATACCCACTTCACCTAATATTCTAGACGATAACATGGCACCGTGGCCACTCTACACGGGAATGTCCTGAGACCGCCAGTTTCTAACTCCCCGCCTCCACACTATTACCAAGTTCTAAAAATCCTACCTATATAATACACCTCAAAGTCCATACAAATCTCTTCCTTTTAACTGCCATTACCCCTTTGTCTGGGACTTCTGTGACACCCTCAATGGTTTCTAGGCTTTTGCTCTTGCCAGTCCTAAATCTGTTCAACCGCAGCTACAGCAACAAAAGCTAATTACACAGCGCCCTCCTTCGGTCAGGGTGTTCCGAAGACTTAGCCCCCCCCCCCCCCCCCCCCCTCCGGCAAAGTCTCCAGACTTTTATCTGCTCTGGTCTTTGGGTCTTCTGATCCCACAAGACTTTAACTTCTCTGGTCTCATCTGGAGCCTCACAACCCTGAACTCTTTTGCTCCAGTTTCATAGGCTTTTCCTGTCCCACGCCTTTCTGGCCTGACAGGCGTTGTGGAAGGAAGTGTCCACGTCTCTCGTGGGTTTCCCGTTTTCTCCTACAGGTGATCCGTAGAGGGGGTGTGGTTCCTTTACAAATGCCAGTTGGTTAGTGCTGTCTTGGCTATTGGTTTACAAGAAAATGCTGTCACGTCAAGAAAGGCAGGAGGAGCTTAGTGAGTTCAAGGCCAGTCTGGTTTACACACCACACCGAGTTCCAGGACAGCCAGAGCTGTAACAGAGAAATCCCAGTCTCGAAAAACCAAAGAAAGAAAGAGAGAGAAAGGAAGGAAGAAACTGGCTTGACTTAAAGATCACCCTATCAGACAGCGGCCCCGCCAGCTGAGGCCATTTCTTTTACTCCCACGCTGGTCACGCACTTGCTGGCCTCTCAACGCTACTTCTGCCCCACTTCTGTGACCACGCCCCCCAGCCCCGGTCTAGACTCCCGACCGGCCTACTACTCCCATATTCTAGGCCTCAATCCGTACGATCTGGGCTTCTCCACTCCGGGTCAAAGCCCACCCCAAACTCAGCAATCCCGGCTCCAGCGCGGGCCTGGGTTCTGGGTTCACCTGGTCCTCCCGGCAGCGCTCTAGGCCAGCAGGCACTGAGCTAGTTAGCCTGCCGGGTCCTTTGGGGTTCTTCAGGCACGTCTCCGGGCAGCCCTCCCCGGGTCCTACTGTCTGGCGGCGGTAAAGTTGAGTGACGTGTGTGTGTGTGTGTGTGTGTGTGTGTGTGGTGTGTGTGTGTGTGTGTGTGTGGTGTGTGTGTGTGTGTCCTACTGTCTAGCGGCGGTAAATTGAGTGGCGCGCTCGTGCGTGCGTGTGCGTTTGTGTGTGTGCGTGTGAGACTGAGGTTGAGAAGGAACAATAATCCGTTCAAGACTTGCTCGTTTAGCTTCAGGGCTTGGATGCTCAGACATCGCACTCCTGGAATGTTGGAAGCGGGGGTGCCCGACCGACAGCTTGCTTACACAAGGTGTCTTCCAGAGAAAAGTCCATTTCTTTCTTATTTATTTCTTGGTTTTCGAGACAGGGTTTCAGTATGTAACCCGGTTGTCTTGGAACTCTCTCTTTAGACTAGACTGGTCTTGAACTCACAGGGATCTTTGCCTCCTGAGTGCTAGGATTAAAAAAGTGTGCACCACCATCGCCTGGCCCATTTCTTTATTTAAAAAAAAAAAACCTTAAAAGAATTTTTATATTACCCCACATGCATGACTGGTGTCCATGGAGCCCGGAAAGGGTGCTGGATCCGTTGGAACTGGAATTACAGATGGTTGTGAGCTTACACTTGGGAGGTGGGACTATAACCCTATCCTCAGGAAGAGCAGCCAGTGCTCTTAACGGCTGAGCCATCTCTCCAGCATGAAAATCCATTTTTTTTATGTTTATGGTGTTTTGCCTGTGTGTATGTCTATGCAGCATGTGTGTGCCTGTTACCAATAGAGGCCAGAAGAGGTGATCAGCCAACAGGGACTGGAGTTACAGATGTTTGTGAGCCACCATGTGGGTGCTGGGTATCGAACCCAACTCCTCTGCAAGATCTGTGAGTGTTTTTCAGTAATGAACCATCTCTCCAGTCTGATAGCTGCTCTTCCAGAGGACCTGGGTTCAATCCCAGCACCCACCTGGCAGCTCACATCTGTCTGTAGCTCCAGTTCTAGGGGAACTGGCATCCTTACACAGACGTACATGCAGGCAAAACACCAATGCTCGTGAAATAAAAATACATTAATTAAAAAAACCAAAAATCAAAACAAAACAGAACCAACAAAAAGGAATGGCAGGTAGGTGGAGCCAAATTGTTAGGTCTATTGATAACTCAAGGAGCTGTTAGAGGTTGCAACTTAATGTAGGAACCAAAGATGCCTGGCTTCTAACTCTGTTACTTTAGTACTGAGACTTAGGAACTTCAGTTGAGACAACAGCAATAATAATAAACATATATATCATTATCAAAGTATGGACGATATCAGAAAACACTTCAGTGTCCAGACTCTACTGGCTTTTAGGCAAAATTTTGCCCTAGTTTTCAGTTCTTCATGTTGCCCAGCCCCCAGTGGATCTGAAGATAATTAGGAAAAGGTGAAAGTTTTGATTCAGTTTTACTGGGACTCAGGAAGCTCCATGATAGTTTTTCAGTCTCCATTTTGTGAGTCTAAACTCAATTGGGAAAAGTCACCTAGGTTGATAATGGGCTGGCAAGATGGCTTAGTAGGGAAAAGCATTTGCTACCCAGCTTGAGGGCTGGAGTACAATCCCCAGGATCCATATAGTATAAGGAGAGAATCGTCCCTCCCCCTCACTCTGACCTCCACTTGAGTGCTGTGATGTGTACGTGCACTCACAAATAAGGGACTGGCCGGGCGGTGGTGGCGCACGCCTTTAATCTCAGCACTTGGGAGGCAGAGGCAAATGGATCTCTGTGAGTTCGAGGCCAGCCTGGTCTCTGGCTTTTGTAGGCACCTGCGCATATCCACACCTAGACACATACACAGAATTTAAAAATAAAAACGAGGGGTGGAGAGATGGCTGAGCAGTTAACAGCACTGTCTGCTCTTCCAAAGGACCAGGGCTCAATTCCCAGCACACACATGGCAGCTCACAGCTGTCTGTCGCTCCAAGATCTGACACCCACGCACGGACATGCATGCAGGCAAAACGCCAATGCATATTAAGTTAAAAAAAATAAAACCTTTGGAACTGGAGAGGTGTTCAGCAGTTAAGAGTACTTGCTGCTCTTCCAGAGGGCCAGGTTTGATTAAAATCTGAATCCCTCTTATGGTATAGTTGTTTTGAGACATGCTGAGAGCTATATGGGTTCACAGGACAAATATCCAATTTAATTATGACCAAAGTCCAAATATTGCTGCTACTGAGCTATTTATTCCCTAACTTTGCATTTCATTGGTTATGTGGTCATTATGTGAAAATATGGAGAGGTGAGGACATAGAATATCTGATGTCTTGGAAAAGGTCTTGCTGAGTGCTGATGGCCCATGTTATTTTCCAGCACTAGGGAGGCTGAGGCAGGTGGATCTCTGAGTTCAAGCCTGGTCTACATAATGAGTTCCAGAACAGCCAGGGCTACAGAGAAAAATGAAAAAGAAAAAAAAGAAAAGGTTCTTATTAACTGAGAAAATGTTTACTGACCAAGCTTATGCTGAGAATCATTTATTGAAGAAGCAAATCAATGAATTTGATCCAAGTACCTTTTACCACCAGGATCCATTTCTTAATGAGCTATTCTTTTTTTCCTCCAAACATTGGAGGTTGAACTAAGGCTTCATACATACTAGGCAAATACTGTACCAGAAAGTCCAGCCCCTGTCCCCCAAATTTGGTATCTTTGAAGACTCAGCCATCATGCTTCACTTGGCTGTCTGAGGATTCAGTAACTTTTAATTGTGTCCATAGTCTTCCCCGGAGTAAATCTGTAAGAGAAATATTTGCTTAGAGACACTGCAGTCAGTGAAATTACGAGAAAACTACTGTCTGAAAACCGTACGACCCACACTCCAGGAGGATGCTGACCCCTGAACTGAGGCTGATGAGAGACATTCTGATTTCTTGAGGATGAAAAGATAACTGAGTAGATGTGGGCAGAGAAGAGAGCAGAGGGTGTGGGTGCCTGTGATTCTGGGGAGCCGCTCCAGCAGAGCAGATGGAAGGTAGAGGCATTAGATTAGAAACGTGTGCCATTCAGGGGATAGACCAAGGGCTGTGTGAAGAACAGAATGGGAAACAGATCCCCACATTCTCAACACAGCCCTATCAGTTCTCAGCCCGGAGGGTTTGAAGCGAATCATATGACCTCTCCAGACTTGTTTGAATGTGAGACATAGCTGAGAGCTGTGCCTTTAAAGGTCTTGTGAGAGGGCTGGGGGAGGAGATAACAGCAAATAAAAGGTGTGATACTAGGCAGGAAAAAGAGCTGGGGATAGGTGTAAGGACCAGCCCTCCCCCTGTTCTATGCTGGATATATAGGGAATTTGTGCAAGTCTGTGCGGGGAGGAACTGCCATTCGTTCATTCATCCATTTTCTTTTGCTTCACACCATGATAAACATTGCCGTAGACTTCTAAGTCACTTTGCAAAACTATGAGAAAATTTCTTTGTCATCTTCTAGGAAATTCTGGTCCATACGATACATATGCACATCATTTGTTGCATTGTCTAAAACATGTGAGATTTGTCCTCCACAGTGACATTAAGCCCTCACTGTTCCCAGAGCTTGTGAGAATACTGACACCTTGTCTCCAGCAGCTGGATACTTCCCGGACTTCTGACTTTTTCTGGCAGCCAGGAAATTGGCATCTTACTATTGTTTCAATTTGAATTTGTCCCGTTATTCCAGAGCATTTGAGAAGCTTTCACATTTTACAATTAGGCCGAGAACAAAACCAAGTGCACACTCTGTCTCCGATTTTCTGTTTTAGAAACAGGGTCTTACAGCAGATGTAACTTGTTTGACCTGTCTCTAATCTCAAGGGTAAGACATCAGAATCTGTTTGCTCATATCAAGCTTGTAGGCTTAGATTTCTTTTAGCTTATCATTGGTTTTTAGGTTTGGTTACATATACTTATTTTCTGTTTCTCTGTGTATCAGGCTAGCTCTATAGCCAGGATGCTGGACTTTCTTTTTCTTTAGTCTAAGAATAGCTGTCTTCCTCTCTCCCCGCTTCCCTCTTCCCTTCCATTCTCCCACTCCATGCACAGCATCTCTCTGAGTTGTTAGGCGGGTTCTGACCTTGCTCTAGATTGGCTAATTGTTATTTTTTAGAGTTTGGGAACATTTGAAGATGCCTTTAGAAGATGCCAAGGAAACCAAACATGGTGGCACACGCCTTTAATCCCAGCATTTGGGAGGCAGAGGCAGGTGGATCTCTGTGAGTTTGAGGCTAGCCAACTATATAGTGAGTTCCAGGACAGCCAAAGATATACAGAGAAACCCTGTCTCGAAAAACAAAAATAAAAAAAAAAAGATGCTAAAGAACTAATTAGATGTTGTAACGGCAATGGAGTTATATAAAGAAATGACCAACTTAGCAATGCACTCTGGAGAATGTTGGGGAGAAGGATATGTCCAAGTCTGTGGAAATTCTTCATCAAGCACAAAGAAAAATAGAGAAAAGACATATGCCATCACCCCCCATTTTTAAAAATCGGCATGACCGATATATGGAATTTATTTTACCACTACTTTTCCCTTTGTGCATTTTGATGATTTTCTTAACAACTGTTACAGATCCCTGGTAACCAACCGTGGCTGGTGAAATGTCTCAGGGAATAAGAGAAAATGCTGCACAAATGCACGACTTGAGTTTTAATTCCCAGTACCAAGTGAAAACCTCGACGTGACTGTGTGTGTCCCTCTAAGTGGCATTGAGGAAATGGAAGCAGGTGGATCCTGTCTCAAGGCAACAGGACAGAGGAATAAAGAAGTCACACACAGAAAGATCCCTGGCAGCTGCTCCGGGCTCCACATGTACACTCGTGTGTGCATACCCAAATATTCATGCAGAAACCACACACACACACACACACACACACACACACAACTCACGTTCATAAATCCTTGACAATGAGCTGTTAAATATCTGTGGTCTACTTTCAAAACTGAAAAAACAAGAGAGATTTTACTTACACATTCTCCATCATGCATTTTAACTATGGTTCTGCTTTCGTATCTGGAAAAATTATATTATGAAATGGTTATTTTTGTTCTGTTAGATGCCATAAACCATGACCAACTCTTTCTTGGTCGTCTTAGGCAAAGCCAAGAAATATTTTGTTAATAACAGTGGATATATATATATATATATAGTATATATAATGTATATTTTTATTTTGTGTGTATGTGTGTTTTGCCTGCATGTATATCTGTGTATCCATGGAGGTCAGAAGAGGATGAGCCTATATTCTAGCTCCAGGCAATCCAATGACCTCTCCTGGCTTCCCTAGGCACCTGCATTTACATGTCTCATGCTCATGTGTGTCTGTGCACATGTGTACATGCATGTGCACAAACACATACACACAATTAAAAATAAAGCAATCTGCTGGGCAGTGGTGGCGCACACCTTTAATCCCAGCACTTGGGAGGCAGGGGCAGGCAGATCTGAGTTCGAGGCCAGCATGGTCTATAGAGTGCATTCCAGGCCAGACTCCAAAGCTACACAGAGAAATCCTGTCTTGAAAAACCAACCAACCAACCAAACAAATAAATAAAACAATTTTAGCCGGGCGGTGGTGGCGCACGCCTTTAATCCCAGCACTTGGGAGGCAGAGGCAGGTGGATCTCTGTGAGTTCGAGACCAACCTGGTCTACAAGAGCTAGTTCCAGGACAGGCTCCAAAACCACAGAGAAACCCTGTCTCGAAAAACCAAAAAAAAAAAAAAAATAAATAAATAAAATAAAAAATAAAAAAAATAAAAAAATAAAACAATCTTAGAGATTAAGATACCACTGAATACATGTGTATCAATGAATTAGGAAACCTAGATGACACTCAAAGTTTCATAGAAACACAATTATCTAAAGTGATTGGTGAAGAAATGAAACAGCTCAGGAGACCTCCAAGTAGGGACATTAATTCTGTGATCAAAAGTCTCCCAACTAGTCTGGTTCAGGCAACCATATTGCTGGGAAACAAGACCTGCATGATGACTGCACCAGTTACCATGGCAACGTGGGTGGGGGAGGCTCACAAGTCCCCACCCCTAGATGATGAGTTACAGCGAGGATGGGGATTGGTTTCCCCAGGAAGAAGCCCTTCTTAGGTTATCCCAGCCCAAGTTGTCAGCCCTAGACACAAGTAAACATAAGCAAACATAAGTAGGGTGTGTGTGTGTGTGTGTGTGTGTGTGTTAGGGTCTTGGAGAAGTTCCATAAAAAACTACCATCCTCCCTTGTACCTATTGTCAGGGACACCAGTGATTAATTGCCCTTTGTTCGTGGCTCTCTCAGAAACTGCTTGCTTAGTCTCAGGAGTCTGCTCCGTTCTCTCATTTACATACAAGAAAGGGACTGGGGAGGAGACAGACACACAGGAGTTGGAAAGGGAAGAGGGATGTAAATATGACTTATGCTTAAAATTCTCAAAAATGAAAAGCTTAAAAAAAACCTAGAGGACCAAAACTCTCTCAACAGGGTTGCTGAGACCGGCAGCGTGTAAACCCACATACTGCCAAGGCAACAACCTGAGCTTATCCCCAGAACGCACAGATGGGAAGGAGGGAGTCAGCTCCTGCAGGCTGCTGATCTCCATGCGTGCACTGTGGCATGTACAAACTCTCTTCCCTAAATAAATAATATGTGATCATTTTTTAAACAAAAGGATTCTAGACAGAAACTTGAATTCGCACACAGAAAGTCAAGGGTAGTGGTACATACTTGTAAAAAGCCCCCAGGAGGCTGAGGCAGGAGGCTATGAGTCTGAGGCCAGGCTGGGCCACAGCAACCTGAGGGCAGCTTACAACTGCTTTTTTAAACGAGACCCTTTCTCAGCTGAAACAGACAAACTTGAATCTCTGTGAAGAAACAGAGAACCATAGTGGGCAGTTCTTACGAAGCTAGAAAAGACAATGAAATGTATTTTTTATTTGTACACCTTTTTCTCCAGAATCAAAAGAAAATAACAGTAGTTAACCTGGTATACAATAGTCATGCCTATGTTAACGGGTGTACAATACTTATGCCTGTGTTAACTGGTGTGCAATGGGCAAAGGTATAGTTTGTATAGCATCCCTCCCTCCCTCCCTCCCTCCCTCCCTCCCTCCCTCCCTCCCTTCCTTCCTTCCTGGCTATCACTCTGGACAGAAAAAAACTAATTCAATCTCTTGCAGTTCCTTCCACCAAAGAAGAGGTCTTATCGTTCCTGGGAGTGGCCGGTTTCCTGCGTTCCTGGATCCCCTCCTTTTCTCTCCTTGCCCGTCCCCTATACGAAGCAGCTCTTGGCTCCCTGCATGAGCCCCTTCTCCACCCTGTTACCAAACCCTTCCAGAGACTCCAACGGGCTCTTATCCAGGCTCTGGCTCTTCATCTTCCAGATTTAATTCGTCCTTTTTCTCTTTATGTAGCAGAAAAGGAGGGATATACCCTTGGGGTCTTAGGACATCAATTGGGACTTTCTTTTGCACCTGTAGCATACCTGTCAAAGAAGATGGACCTCACCACTTGGGGCTGGGCACCCTGCATATGTGCTTTGGCAGCTGCTGAGCTTCTTATTCGTGAGTCAAAGAAACTAACCTTTGGGGCACCCACCACAGTCTTCTCTCACCATAATCTGTTCAACCTCTTAACTTACAAAGGCTTACAAACCCTACCCTCTTCCCGAGTCCTTTCCCTCCAGGTGGTGCTCGTAGAAGATGCTAGCCTCACCTTTCAATGCTGTCCACCCCTTAATATCTCAAATCTTCTACCTCAACCTAATGTTAATGATTCCCCATTCCACTCCTGCATAGAGACCTTAGATGATCTACTGCCCCACCCCTCACATATACAGGAGGGCAAACTGTCCCAGGCCACTTATACCTGGTACACAGATGGCAGCTCCTTTTTATGTGATAGGACCCGTAGAGCAGGCTATGCCATAGTATCAGATACAGAGATAGTAGAGGCAGGAACACTCCCAGCCCATACTACTAACCAGCAGGCTGAGCTGATAGCTCTCACCCGTGCCTTTCAGTTAGCCGAGGGACAATCTTTAAATGTTTACACAGACTCTAAGTATGTGTTTCATATCCTCCTGTCCCACGCAGCTATCTGGAAGGAGCGTGGGCTTCTTACGACAAAAGGAGGATCCATAGCTAACTCAGGTTATATTATGAACCTGTTAAAAGCCTCCCATCTCCCTAAAGCTATAAGAATTATTCACTGTCTGTCTCACCAGTCCGACAGTTCCATTGTTTCCAAGGGAAATAATCGGGCTGACAGAGCAGCTAAGACAGCAGCACTCCAGAGCCCAGATCTATCTCAGTCACCTCAGGGAGTTCTTACAGCACAGCCCACTCTCACAGACACCTGACACCCAACAGATCCTGTCCTACCTACATCAGCTCTTTCATCCTAATAACAAAGCTCTACTTCATTTTGTTAGGGCTCACCTCCAACCCACCCCTGAGGATATCAGGTTCCTAAAGGCTATCACTGCCTCCTGTCAGATCTGCCAGAAGTCAGATCCCAAAACCAAATACCGTAGCTTCCCTTTTCCTACTCACCAGGCCAGGGGCTCCCTTCCGGGAACTGACTGGCAGCTGGATTTTACTCATATGCCCACAGTCAAAAGAATTAAATATCTCCTGGTTTTGGTGGATACAATGTCTGGGTGGGTTGAAGCCTTCCCCACCACCAACAAGAGAGCCCAGACAGTCTCCAACATTCTTCTCCGAGAAATCATTCCCCGGTTTGGAATTCCAACCTCTCTTCAATCAGATAATGGCCCTGAGTTCACTTCTCAGATCTCTCAAAACCTGTCCAAGGCTCTTAACATTCCCTGGCATTTCCATATCCCATACCACCCTCAGTCTTCAGGTAAGGTAGAACGGACTAACCGTTCTTTAAAAGATGCCCTTGTAAAAATGTCCCAGGAACTTCACCTCGACTGGGTAAGGCTCCTGCCTCTGGCCCTCCTCAGGCTTAGAGCCCTCCCAAAAAGTCCCCTTTATATCTCACCTTTCAAACTCATGTATGGGCGGCCCATTCTAACCCCCGGCCTCCCACCTAAAACCTCCCCCCTTCCTGATCACCTGCTCATGCCACTACTAACCCATCTACACTCGCTACTGTGGGATTTTACCGACCACTCATTACCTCAACCATGTGCTAATCCATGTCCACCGCCAATTAAAATAGGAGATCAGGTATTATTTTCCCCCGCAGGTCAACGTCCCTCATCCTTTTCCCCTAAATGGCAGGGTCCCCTCAGAGTAATTCTTTTGACTCCCACAGCTGCTAAGCTCGAGGGAAATCCTCAGTGGATTCACCTATCACATCTTAAACCGTTCACTCCTCCAGCTCAAGACAATCCCTCATACACGGTAACTCAGACAGGACCTTGTTCTCTTAAGTTCCAGAGGACTCCAGTCCAAGGAAAGTAGAGGTCCTGTCCTTCACTCAACCCTCTTGTGCCAACATATTTTCCTTTCTCCTCTTTTTCTAAATTTCTGAATAACCACTCAGGTATCGTTACAGGATTCATTATCAGACATGGAGCCAAAGGTTCAGGTGGTAAGCAAATTCTTAACAAAGTTCCTTGACACAACAGGTTCGCCACTGACTGCAGCAGTGTCTCCTGGATGTTAAGGTAATGCCCAAAATATCATACATGGCTAAGAATTTATTTCTTTTAAGACATTTCCTTTAGGCTCCAAGAAGCCAGCCCAACCCACCTGAACGAAGCAGGCCCAAACGGATCATTAATGGAATAAGTACCATTCAATTTTTTATTATTCTTAACCCCAAACCTCCTAAAGCCCCCCACCCCAAATCCCCCCTTAATTTCCCCAAATCTCCTCTTTAATTTCCCAAACCTCCTCTTTTCTTCTCTACTAATTTTCTTCTCTACTAATGCGACTTTTGTTTTCTAGCACCTTAACGACGACCCAGCTACCCAAAAGCCAGACAGATGCAATTTCTTCAATCAGCCATCTCAAAACGCCAGAGGACAGGACATAATCAACAGGACATCAACAGGACAATCGATACTCCCCGGATCCCTCAGACAGATGCGATTTCTTCAATCAGCCACCTCAGAACATCAGCGGACAGGACATGATTAACAGGACATCACCAGGACAATCGATACTCCCTGGATCCCTCGACGCCCAAAGTCAGCAGGAAGCAGTTATGAGAGACAGGGCTACGCCCCTATTCCCTACCCATTAAGACTCTCAACCCCCCAGATTTTTAATAAATTAAAAAGTGTGGAAATGTTATTCCCCAGAAGGCCCCTGAGCGTAGCTCGCCTGGGGAACTACATTTCCTAGGAGGCCCTAGCGTTCCACGCAAAGGCTGCGCAGGCGCAGAACGTGGCGTCTGACGCACGTGCGTGGGGGACCCTTTAAAAAGCTGGAACAAGTTCTGTTCGCTCTGTTTTCCCCTTCTCTCCCACACGCTCAAGTAAAGCTCGCGCTCCACGTGGGTTTTGTTGTGTCTTGCGTCCTCTTGCGTCCTTTCGCGTCCGAAAAAGAACAAGAAGAGCAAGCAAGAAGCAGACAGCACAGAAGAACACTTCCTTCCTTTCTTTTTCTAAGACAAGGTTTCTCTGTGTAGCCCTAGTGTCCTGTAGCTCACTTCATAGACCACGCTGGCCTCTAACTCAGAGATCCTCCTGCCTTTGCCTCCTAAGAGCTAGGATTAAAGGCATGCATGACCATGCTCAGTTAACATCTTTATCTATAATTGCTGTAAATGCAGATTGGATTGCTATAAAGTTTATTTGCAATCTCAGGGAAGCTGCTAAGAAAATATTTTAATTAATTAATTTTTTTTTTGAGAGAGAGTTTCTTTGTGTAGCACTGGCTATTCCAGTACTCACTGTGTAGACCAGGCTGGCCTTGAACTCAGAGACCTGCCTCTGCCTGGTGAGTGCTGGGATTAAAGGTGTGTGCCGCCACCAACCAGAGAAAATATTTTATTATACTTATTTTTTATTTTGTTTGTTTTTTGAGATGGATTCACTACGCAGCTTTGGCTGGCCTAGAGTTTCCTACATAGACCAGGCTAGCCTCTAGCTCACAGAGATCTCCCTGCCTCTGCCTCCCCAGTGCTGGGGGGATCACAGATGTACGTCATGACACATTGAATGGTTGGGGTGTGGAACACAGGGCCTCACATATACCAAGGGAGAGTTCTACCACTGCGCTGTATCCACAGGTCAAGAAAAGAATTTACTTGTTTATTTAGTGCTTGTGTAGACGTGTGTGTGATGGATGTGTGTGCTGTCTACACGTGTGTGTACAGGGACCTGCTTCTGTGTGTACATGTGGAGACCAGAGGAGACAGCCTGTTCTATATCATTTTACCTTATTCCCTTGAGATAGGGCCTCTCACTGATCCTAGAGCTAGGCTGGTGCTAACAGGCACCAGTGGTCCTCCTGTCTCTGCCCCCCATAGCCCTGGGGTTGCAGGCATGCAAGCAGCCAAGCCTGGTCCGGTGGTGGGCATTTGAACTCTGGTTCATGCTGGGGCCACAAACACTTCCCCACAGAGTCATTTCCCCAATCCCTAATTTTGTTTACTCTAGCAGAAGGTGAGTTTGCATATGGTTTGTGGTGCTGTGCCCCTCCCCCCTCCCCGCCGCGCCCCGCCCCGCCCCCCCCCCAACTGGCAGTTATCTGTGCCAGTCATTGAGGCTGACATACAAATGTGCTTCATAACTCTTTTATGGGCTCTTAGTGTAAACTTTCTTATTTATACATCCAAGAACATCAAACAAGGCTGATTCCTATTGGCCAAACGTCTCTCATACTGACCAAGATTATTCTTTTTCTTAAAGAAGACTAAAACAAGGGTGAATGTTTGACCACTCTCATGTTATTCTTCTTTTCTCTTAAGATACTGGGGACCAGGCAGTGGTGGCACACATCTTTAGTTCCAGTACTTAGGAGACAGAAGACAGACAGAGTTCGAGGCCAGCCTGGTCTACAAAGTGAGTTTCAGGATAGCCAGGGCTACACAAAAACCCTTGTGTTTAAAACAAAACAAAACCCCAAAAAGTAAACACACAAACAAAAAATATTGGCTTAACTGGGGAATATTACACAAGATATGGATTTCCTTCCTCAAGAAAACAGCTTCTGTGTGAGAATTCCACCACTTCTGTTTGTAGGTTCCTTAATGCAGACTTCTGTGCCTTGGACCAAAGAGTTGGGCATTTTGCACAGGTGTTACCAAAAGCTAAATGTCACTGGACTCAAACTAAACCACTGACAGGATGAACATTAAAAAAAAAAAAAAGTTGTTTTGGGCTGGAGAGATGGCTCAGAGGTTAAGAACACTGACTGTTCTTCCAGAGGTCCTGAGTTCAATTCCCAGCAACCACATGGTGGCTCACAACCATCATCTATAGTGAAATCTGGTGCCCTCTTCTGGCCTGTAGGCATACATGAAGGCAAAACACTATATACATAATAAATAAATAAAACTTTTATAAAGAAGTTGTTTTGGGGAATAATATTCATTTAAAGAGCAATAAACCATTCATTGGGAAAATTCCTTACCTAACTTCTTCCTCCTCCTCCCCTTCTTTTCCTCCCCATTTTTCTCCCCTTCCTTCTCTACATTTTTTTTTTTTTTTTTTTTTTTTTGATTTTTCGAGACAGGGTTTCTCCGTAGCTTTTGGTTCCTGCCCTGGAACTAGCTCTTGTAGACCAGGCTGGCCTCGAACTTACAGAGATCCGCCTGCCTCTGCCTCCCGAGTGCTGGGATTAAAGGCGTGCGCCACCACCGCCCGGCCCTTCTCTACATTTTCTTCCTCCTCCTCTTCCTCCTTTTTTGCCATCTCCCTTCATCCTCCTCTTCTTTAAGAACTGTTTTCGTCAGATTTATGTACGTGTGTGTGCTTGTGTGTATGCATGGGTCTGTGTGTGCTGTGGTATTATGTGGAGGTCAGAGGACAACTTTTGGAGTGTAGGATCTGTCCTTCCACCATGGCTCAGACTCCAGTCTCAGGCTTGGTGTCAAGTGCCTTTACCTGCGGAGCCATGTCACCGGCCTCTCTCCTCACCAGGCTGTTCTCTGGCCAGGTGAGCCAACTGGGCTACGGTCACAGGTCACATGGTGCGAATGCTGCCCCTGCTTGCTACTGCGTTCCCTCCAGTTGGTCTTTGTCTGCACCAGACACTGCACCCTGACCTCTGTGGCGTGCTGTTTGTGCATCGCTGACATGGAATCCCATTCAGCTTTGGGGAGCAGGAGGAGAAAGGGAAGAAATGGAGAAGCAGGTAGTGGGGGAGGGGCTAATGGAAGAGAGAAGAGCTAATGGCTGAGGCAGGGAATAACAAAATGGAGACTTACAGAATTCTGGAGCAGAGATGGCACTCGCCGCTGTAGGTAATTTGGTCACTGGCACATATAGGCTCGCTGGGCTTGAAGTAGGAAAGCATCCAGCATTTCCTGACGTTCTTGTTGCACAAGTCCTGAAGTGAGACATAACACCTCCAGGTCCTTTGTTACAGGTAACGGGCAGGGATGGCGCAAGGAACACCGGGCCAGGAGTTTTTTTTTTTTTTTTTTTTTTTTTTTGTTTTTTGTTTTTTGGTTTTTCAAGACAGGGTTTCTCTGTAGCTTTGGTGCCTGTCCCGGAACTAGCTCTTGTAGACCAGGCTGGCCTCGAACTCCCAGAGATCCGCCTGCCTCTGCCTCCCGAGTGCTGGGATTAAAGGCGTGCGCTACCACCGCCCGGCTAGGCCAGGAGTTTAGACAACAGGCTTTGGATTCTCCGCATTTCTCCTGGTCCTTGCCATTGACACCTGCATGACTGCAGATGTGCCTTCCCCAGCCTCCCACCAGGTCCTTCTGAGGAAGAAGTCTCTGTTGAACAGACCACAAAGTGTGGAGAGCAAGAGCTGGGAAATGTCTTTCCAAATAGGCGTCTCTGGAGCCGGAGAGGCGACTCAGCACTGGCTGCTCTTCTAGAGGAACAGAGTTTGGGTCCCAGCTCCCATATGAGATGGCTCAAAGCTGCCTGTAACTCCAGCTCCAGGCTATCCAGGATTCTCTTCTGGCTCCATGGGCACCTACCTATACATATGTGGCATACATCCGCATAGACACACATAAATTAAAATAAAATTTTAAGAAAAAAACGAAAATAATTTCTAAAAATGGAGATTTCTTCTTTCAATTTTCTTTTTGTTGTTTTTTTTCCTTTTTTAGAAAAAATATTTAACTTTATTTTATGTGTATTTGGCATAAAGGCATCAGATACCCCAGAATTGGAGTTACATGAGATACTATGTGGGTGCTGGGAATTGAACCTGGGTCCTCTGGGAGAGCAGCCAGTGCTCTTAACTGCTGAGCCATCTCTACAGACCCTCCTTTTCTTTATTTTATTTTATTATTATTTTTGCTTTGTTGTTTGTTTTGAGACAGGGTTTCTCTGAAGTTTTGGTGCCTGTCCTGGAATTCACTCCGTAGACCAGGCTGGCCTCAAACTCACAGAGAACCTCCCACCTGTGCCTCCTCAGTCTTGGGACTAACAGTGTGTGCCACCATGCCTGAAAACATTGGAATTGCTTATGAGCATTGGTGAATGACTTACAGTCTGTGCTCAAACTTGTCACAAGGGTAAGATGTAGAGCTGACAGAGAAGGCATCACAGGGTTTGGAGTGAGGGTGGCACACACAAGTCCTGGATATCACCACAGAAAGAATGTCCATAGCAGCGTGGGACCAACCTGAATTCTGTTTTTGTTTTTCAAGACAGGATTTGTCTGTGTCTCTGTAGAGCAGACTGGCCTTGAACTAAGAGACCCACCAGCCTCGCCTCTGTCTCCCAAGTACGGGGATCAAAGGCTTGCACTACTGCCACCTGACTGGGACCAACCTGAATCTGAACCATAATTTCCTCATGCATTTAGTGGTGGTTATTACAGGAGGCTTGCAGATTGGAGTAATGTATAGGAAGAATCCCCAGGGACAACCAAATGAGCTGCACACACGCTGGGACTCTCTTATGATCGTGGTGTTCCCAGGCAAGCCCCTCCTGCTCCCCACCTCCCGGGGACCTGGGAGGGAAACTGACTCTCCATTCCTATTCTTGGGAACCTGAGAAGTGGAGCTCACCTTTGTCTCCTGGAAGACCTCATCGGTCACGCGAGGGCTCATAGGGAGAGAGAAATCTGGAAGACAAAAGCATACAGATGGGACAGTTATTGCCCTGTCTGTGTCCTCAGGGAAAAGGCTAGGTGACGGTGGCTTTGCCTGTCATTCAAGAGCATCCCGTTCCATCATCCGAGCCCAGGGTTCTCCTTTAGCACAGGCTGGCCTCTACAGGAATGAAGAGAGTCAGAAGGCTCCCACCTCTTAGTGAAGTAGAGACCTGGCCATGCCCTTCATGCTTCATGGGTAAATAACTTTCCAAAAGCTTTAGGTTTCTTGTCTTTTTTTTTTTTTTTGTTTGTTTGTTTTTTTAAGACAGGGTTTCTCTGTGTAGCTTTAGAGCCCGTTTCCGGAACTCGCTCTGTAGATGAGGCTGGCCTCGAAAGCACAGAGATCCGCCTATCTCTGCCTCCCAAATGCTGGAATTAAAGGCATGCACCACTACCACCCAGCCCTCATCATTTTTAACATTTTTAAAATTTGTATATATTTTATGCAGTACTGGGTGCATAAAGACATTTTTACATACTCTGTGAGGCTGGAGAGATGGCTCAGCAGTTAAAAGCCCGTATTACTCTGGCAGAAAACCAAGTTCAGTTCTCAGCTCCTACAGGGTGGCTCACAACCATCCGTAACTACAGTTCCAGGGGGCCTGACACCTTTTTCTGGCCTCTGAAAGCAGTGCCCAAACACAGTGCACATACGAAAGCAGTGCCCAAACACACTGCACGTACGAAAGCAGTGCTCAAACACAGTGCACGTACGAAAGCAGTGCACAAACACAGTGCACGTACGAAAGCAGTGCTCAAACACAGTGCACGTATGAAAGCAGTGCTCAAACACACTGCATGTATGAAAGCAGTGCTCAAACACACTGCACGTACGAAAGCAGTGCCCAAACACAGTACACATACGAAAGCAGTGCACAAACACACTGCACTACGAAAGCAGTGCTCAAACACTGCACGTATGAAAGCAGTGCTCAAACACACTGCACGTACGAAAGCAGTGCTCAAACACACTGCACGTACGAAAGCAGTGTTCAAACACAGTGCACGTATGAAAGCAGTGTTCAAACACAGTGTACGTATGAAAGCAGTGCTCAAACACACTGCACGTACGAAAGCAGTGCTCAAACACACTGCACGTACGAAAGCAGTGCACAAACACACTGCACGTATGAAAGCAGTGCTCAAACACACTGCATGTATGAACAGTGCCAGTTCCCACATACACACATTCAGGCAAAACATTCATGCAAGTAAAATAAATATCAAAGGGAAGTTCTTTGACAACATCCTTCCCTGTACCCTCCATTGTATTGGCATATGGTGTGCATGGCCGAGTCGCTGTTCTGCCAAGCTGCGGCTGTATCTCGGACTCGGCACTGGGGCCCGAGTCATGTACTAACAAACAGCGGGGCGCCTGGCAGCTGGGCCGGGAGAGTGCTGTGTTGTTAGGACCCAGGCAGAGGGCTGTGAGATTGGGGTGTGCAGCTCTCTCAAACTAAAATTCAAGCCTACATCCTGGGCCACTCAGGGGCAGGGGCAAAAAAGCCCCACGTTGGGCGCCAAGTGTATCGGTGTAAATAAAGGCAGACAGAAATTATAAGAATATTTTTAGCTTTAATTTAGGGAAAGATTCACAGAACCCGTAGTTCCAGCAGAGAACAGGAAAGCAGAAGGGACAGGGGAGAGCACACCAGCAATATTTATTAGTAAAAAATATCCTCAGGCGACACCGCCCTACAAGCAAGGTGATTGGCTGGGGCTACCCCTACACTCCATTCTTTTTCTTTCCTCCTCTCCTTTGACAGCTAGTTCCATTTGTTCTCCTAGATGGCCTGCCCTGCCTCCTTCTTCTTTCTTCAGGGTCTATGTAGTCTAGGCTTAGTGCGTCGCCCAGGGTGACCTTGAACATCTAAGCCTCCTGCCTCTACCTCCTGAGTGCTAGTATTTCAGATGTACGCTTCTATGCCCAGTGTATGTGGTGCTAGGGATGGAGTCCGGGGCGTTGTGCATGCTAGGGTAGCACTCCAGCAACTGAGCCACTCTCAAACCCCCTACCTGTGTTTTCTTTAGTTGTTTAGGAAAATACATTTTAAGTTATAAGTTGTCTGTAATAATAATACTGAGTGCCACAAAAGACGCTGAGTTCCACTACTTTACACACTCAATCCAAAGCATCTTTGTGTTGTGGGATAATCTTGTACACTGTGAAGAGGTCTCTTTGCCAAGACACCTACTGATTGGTTTATTAAAGAGCTGAATGGCCAATAGCTAGGCAGGAGAGAATAGGCGGGACTTCCAGTGAAAGAGAGAGGAACTGGAGATGAATCTAGGTTCACAAGACATGCCATGAGATGCAAAACGAGTCAGACATATAGAACAGGAGAGAAGGAAAAGCCACATGGTAGAACATAGCTTAGTGGAAACAGGTTAATTTGAGTTATAAGAGCTGGTTAGGAATACGCTAAGCAAACGACCAAACATTCTTTTTTTTTAATATTTATTTATTTATTTATTATGCATACAATATTCTGTCTGTGTGCATGTCTGCCTGCAGACCAGAAGAGGGCACCAGACCTCATTACAGATGGTTGTGAGCCACCATATGGTTGCTGGGAATTGAACTCAGGACCTTTGGAAGAGCAGGCAATGCTCTTAACCGCTGAGCCATCTCTCCAGCCCCATGACCAAACATTCTTTTTTGGTTTTTCGAGACAGGGTTTCTCTGTGGCTTTGGAGCCTGTCCTGGAACTAGCTCTGTAGACCAGACTGGTCTCGAACTCACAGAGATCCGCCTACCTCTGCCTCCCGAGTGCTGGGATTAAAGGCGTGCGCCACCATCGCCCGGCTATGACCAAATATTCTTAATGAATAATGTCTTTATGTCATTATTTGTGGACTGGTGGTCCCAGAAAGGAAGGTTTGACCACATGTCTGCAATCATATGTACACTTTAATCCCAGAGGCAGAGGCAGGTAGGTGAATCTCTGAGTTTGAGGTCAGCCTGGTCTACAAAAGCTGGTTCCAGGACAGGCTCCAAAGCTACACAGAGAAACCCTATCTCGAAAAACCAAAAAAAAAAAAAAAAAAAGCAAACAAATTATAGCACCCATCTAGATAACAGCTGGCACCACCTATTCCCAAACTGTCTTGGTGGTGGACGTGCAATTCTGAATGCAGTATGAACTCTTAGTCTGGTGTGCTCCGTGGATGCTATGCACCACCAGCAGAAGAGCTAATATCTTAGCATACATATTACATGATTTAAAGTTGTGTGACTCAACTGTGATTATTAGATAATTAACTATTTATGATTCGTCTATATTTACTTACAATGTTAAATAATTACATAACTATTTAATCTAAAACTTTATATGGGAGTGAGGGGGAGGGAAGAAGGTGCAGGTGGGAGAAGCTGAGTTGAATTATTTTTCAGGAAAGAGATTTTGTTTGCTTTCTGATGGAGGAAGGTCATTGGCCAATAAAGAAACTGCTTGGCCCTGTGGGTGGAGTAAACAGAACAAAATGCTGGGAGGAAGAGGAAGTGAGCTCAGACTCCACAGCTCTGCTCTCCGGAGCAGATGCCTCAGCAGAGACGCCATGCCCTGCTCCCTGGCAGACACACGCGATGAAGGTCCGACCCAGGATGGACATAGGCTAGAATCTTCCTGGTAAGCGCACCTTGGGGTGCCATCCACAGATGATTAGAAATGGGCTAAATTAATATGTGAGAATTAGCCTAGAAGAAATGGGCCAAGTGGTGTTTAAAAGAATACAGTGTCCGTGTAATTATTTCGGGGCATAAGCTAGCCGGGCAGGCGGCTGGGGTGTTGGGGACGCAGCCCCTCCGCTGCCCTTATTACTTCAGCTTTCTTTTAAGACAAGGTTTCTTTGCGTAGCCCTGGCTGTTCTGGAACCCACTCTGTAACCCACTCTGTAGACCAGGCTGGCCTCGAACTCACAGAGATACACCTGTTTCTGCCTACTAAGTGCTGGGATTAAAGGCATGCACCACCGCTGTCTGCCTGAAAGAGATTTATTAACACCTCAACAATCTGCGGACACAGAGGTGGTCTGAAGATCTGAGCAAGAAGCTTCAGTGTCTCTTTGTGAGGGAAAGGGAGGCTTTGCATTGTGAAGAAGCAGGCTTAGTAAATACTTTTAGTATGTGGCTTATGCTGTATGACCAGGAAAAGAAAGTGAGAGATATGTGACGTCAACTACGTGACAGGGTCACTCCTTCTAAGGGTGGCAGAGTAGGGCTTGTTTGACCCATGCAGCGACAGTAGTCAGGTCCCTGGAAAGCAGGAGCCAGGGTATACTATTGCCCTGCCTGCGAGTCTCCTTGCTTAGGGCCTGTTTACCTGCAGGACCCACGGATTGAAACATTCATCAGAAGGACACGAGGAAGGATGTGGGTAGTGCGGTCAGTAGCTGAGGGGTGAGTGAAAAGTGAGGCTCTGTGGACATGAGTGTGCTCAGCTCCCTCCAGACAGGATTCCGTTGGATATGAAGGGAGAGGAGAGATTTAAGACATGATTATCAGCCGGGAAGTGGTGGCACACACCTTTAATCCCAGCACTTGGGAGGCAGAGGCAGGTGGATCTCTGTGAGTTCGAGGCTAGCCTGGTCTACAAGAGTTAGTTCCAGGATAGGCTCCAAAGCTACAAGGAAACCCTGTCTCGAAAAACCAAAAATAAAATAAAATAAACTAAAAGACATGAATAATCATTCTCAGGTGATGTGGGATTCCCCTCTGTATGCTCTGATTACCATTGATAAATAAAGAAACTGCTTTGGGCCTATAGCAGAGCTATAGGGGAACAGAACTAGATGGGGAAAACTAAATGGCATGCTGGGAGAAAGGAGGCAGAGTCAGAGAGAAGCCAGGTAGCCCCATCGGAGCCAGACGGAACCTTACCCGGTAAGCCACAGCCACATGGTGATACACAGATTAATAGAAATGGGTTAAATTAATATATGAATTAGTCAATAAGAAGCTAGAACTAATGGGCCAAGCAGTGATTTAATTAATACAGCTTCTGTGTGATTATTTCGGGGCTAAGCGGCTGGGAAGGGACAAGTGGCCTTCCCCCAACACCCAGGGTTTTTTTGTTTTTTTTTTTTGGTTTTTTGAGACAGGGTTTCTCTGTAGCTTTGGAGCCTGTCCTGGAACTAGCTCTTGTAGACTAGGCTGGCCTCGAACTCACAGAGATCTGCCTGCCTCTGCCTCCCAAGTGCTGGGATTAAAGGCCTGCGCCACCACCGCCCAGCAACACTCAGGTTTTTACAAAGCTTTTAAAGGTGTGAACCTTGCGCGAGAAAGGTCAGTTTGAAAGAAAGTAGTTATGGAAAATATGAGACTAAAGATGAATGAGATACTGAGGATCTTAAATAGGAAAGAAAGCATAAGGGTCCTCAACTCTACAGTTAACTGTGAACGCCGCTTTTGCTTAAAAATGGTCAATCATGGGGGCTGGAGAGATGGCTCCGTAGTTAAGAGCACTGCTTGCTCTTTCAAAGGTCCCAAGTTCAATTCCCAGCAACCACATAGTGGTTTACAACCATCTGTAATGAGATCTGGTGCTCTCTTCTGGTGTGCAGGCATACATGCAGATGGAACACTGTATACATAATAAATAATAAATAAATAAATCTTAAAAATTAAAAGGTCAACCATTAACCAGAAGAATATCAGAATCCCCTTCTCTAGAGCCTACTGAAGCTCTTTTTGGGTTTGAGATATGTACAGATACGAACCACAGAAATGAATGCTTCCTAGGGCTGAATGTCCTCCTGATAACCTAGTATTGGAAAAGTCAGTGGTTCTGGATTTGAAAGGCTGGGATTCAACTGCAGGTTTTGATACTTAGCAACACTGTGTGACTCCTTTCTTTCTCTGGATTTCAGCTTCATCAGTACCATGAGGAATGAATGATCAAATAAATCTAAAAGGTGACTGGGGACGTAGCTCCATGGCACAATGCTTAGACAGTGCGCGCAGGCTCTAGGTTAGTCTCCAACACTGCACATGAACGAATGGATGGCTCTGCATGGCACTTGCACCGCTAATTTTTCCATAGGTTAAATCGATTGCAGAAAATGTGGACAGAGCAAGAACTTGTAACTCACCAACTGCAAAGGAAGTCCACGCTGAGATGGCTAGAACAAGGAGGGCAGCTGAGAAGGTCGCCTTCATGGTGAGAGAAGGAAGACCTGTGGAAGGAAGCACAGTCACTGGGTGACAGCAACAAGGAAGGCAGGTCTGGCTTTGCTCTCCAGCTTGCAGTGGTTTCAGCAGTGGAAGACACCCCTGCCTGAAGCAACCCCAGGGGTAAAGACAGCGCCAGGGAATGTTATCAGCTCTATCCTGGAGGAGAGTGGCTTCTCCATGTCCCTGGTCCCCGAGTGTAGAGAACAGTAGCTGTTTGCTGTCTCCCCCGTTCTCCGAGGGAGAGAGACCTTCTGCATCCTAACAAGCAGCTGCAGAATCACCCTTGCTGCAACAGGAACTGCAGCGACATGACTCATAAGTCATTCTACTCGGTAGCGTTAGAGTCACAGAACCAGGATGTCCAGTGTCATACAGATGACATCAGCCCGTGTGTCAGAGAAGCAGACCACCCTGGATGCCCCCCTCACCAACTGCTTGCCAAGAACCCTGCATTAGACCAAACCACAGAAGCTAAAAAGCAAGGATAGTACTTTTAGAGACTTTCCCTTAGCTATGGACTTTGATGGATTAGACCTTTGTTTTAGTTTTGGCAGGTCGTACTCTCTACATGCTGAGTTTTACAGCCTAAACAGTACTTCCATCATGGAGTCAGTTGTGCTAAGATCTCAGGGTCTCCTAAGTCTGGGGCCCTGTTACAGTGGTTTAAATAAGAATGGCCCCAAAGGCTCATACATCTGAATGTTTAGACATCAGGGATTAGCAATATTTGAGAAGGATTAAGAAGTGTGGCCTTGTTGGAGTAGTTGTTTTTGTTTTTGTTTTGAGGACCTGTGTCACTGGGGGTGGGCTTTGAGGGTTCAAAAGCACAAGTCAGGCCCGATGTTGTTCTCTTCCTGCTGCCTGAGGAGCCCACTGTAGAATTCTCAGCTCTGTCTCCAGTACCATGTGTTGTGGGATGTTTGTTTACACTGTGTGAGGTGTGTTGTTGCAATTGGTTTAATAAAAAGTCAAAGGGCCAATAACTAGGTAGGAGAGGTTAGGTGGGACTTCTGGACAGAGAGAGGACCTCATAGGGTTAGAATCTAGGAACACACCAGTAAGATGCCGAGCAAGTCAGATGCACAGAATGGAAAAGAGGTAAAAGCCACCTGGCAGAACGCAGATGGATAGAGGCAGGTTAATTAAGTCATAAGAGCTAGTTGGAACAACATAAGCTAAAGGCCAAGCTTTCCTAATTAATAATAAGTCTCTGTGTCATCATTTGGGGCTGGCAGCAGACAAGAGAGCCCTACTACAACCATGTCTACCTGTGTTACCCCATGCTTCCTGCCGTGATGAAAATAGCCTAAATCTCTGAACTCATAAGCAAGCCTGCAGGGAACCATGGAGCTGGGTTGGCCTAGCTGTCCTGAGAGACATGGCTTACAGGTTTTTCAGGTTAGAGACCGTGGTTCCTGGGGCAGAATGTGCCTTCCAGGTCCCGAGAGACCAATGTGCTCCCTCAGGCAGTGAAGCGTTCAGGCCACTTTGTGTTTCTCTGTGTGTTCCCTTGGAAATCAAGGGAGCATGGAAACGTGATGGGTATTAAACATTAATCTTGTGTACCCTGTGTGACTTGCAAACTACATAGTATCCTGGCAACTATAACAGTATTGATCCTGGCAATCGCCATTATATTCTGTTTCTGATAAAGGTACAAAAAGTCTGATTGCTCTCAATAAAATTGTCACAGCCTCAGTTGTGCTGTGGCCCTTCCAGCCTGGTCTGATTTCATTTCTTGTGGCCATGTCAGGTGACCTTGGCCCTGTAAGTAAGCGTGGGAGCTTACACAAGTTCCAGTTAAATGCATCGTCTTATAAGAACTGCCTGGTCATAGCATTTCTTCACATCTATAGGACAGTAGTCATGACAGTGTTCTTAGGAATATTTCCGCAAGATGGCATAACTATAGTTCAGTAGCCCCGTACGATAAATGTCTATAGAACCTCTTTTTAGCCTGGTTTTGTCAGTCTTTCTGGTCACTCACCCTTTTTTATATACCCCAAATCACATCCAAACCATTACTGCAGCTTTTTGTTTATTTGTTGCTTTGAGACAGGGTCTCACTTTGTAGCCCAGGCTAACCTTGAACTCATTTGTATTTCAGGCTGACAATCCCCCTGCCTCAGTATGGGATTACAGGTCTGCATCCAATTTCCGTGTCTTCTTTTGTCAGCTTTTCCAGTGCCTCCCCAGCAATCTATCTAAGCAGATTCCTTAAGCCCACGTCTTTGTGAGCACAGGCTTATATTTTTATGTTTCTGTGGTTTTAGACACACTTTCTGTAGTGCTTTTGTAAGAGCAACAAAACTCCAAGAAGTTTTCTTTGTTTTTCCATTCTCAACATTGTTTTCAGAGGACAGAATAGGTGTCTGGGGGAGTAGCCTACTAGTTTCTCTTTTGGTGTCAGATTGGCTAAAAGGAATGGCGGAGTGGTGTTAGGCAAGAGAAATTCTAAAGGATATTGAAGACTGCTAGTGTTCAGACTGTCGTCTGTCATCTGAGTGTAGCCAGAAGTAGAGCAACTTTTGTTGCGTTGAGAGGCACAAGATAGCTCCTTCCATTCAAACGGATGATCGTATGCCACTCACTAAACACACATACCTTGCTGGGAACCTATGAACGATGAAGTTCTTTTTTTTATTCTTTTTTTTATTTTTTTATTTTTCGAGACAGGGTTTCTCCGTAGCTTTTGGTTCCTGTCCAGGAACTAGCTCTTTTAGACCAGGCTGGCCTCGAACTCACAGAGATCCGCTTGCCTCTGCCTCCCGAGTGCTGGGATTAAAGGCGTGCGCCACCACCGCCCAGCTGAACCATGAAGTTCTAACGCAAGATGGGGTTTTTAACCTGTGAACAATGAAGTTCTAATGGAGCCTACGGTTTTTCCCGATCAGTGGCTTCCTTAGGAACAGTGTGCCACGGACACTGCATAGCAAGGTGACAGTCACTGCAGCACATCCGCAGGAACTGCCTTCCAAAACAGCGACAAAAACTGGGTCCCCATCTCTCAGGCCCCGCAGAAGGGAGAAAGGGGGCCAAAATCACATCGGCAGTGAGAATTCCCAGCCTGGACTAGAAACAGTAACGTCAACGCCATGACATACGGAGTAAGGGTAGTGTGATTTCAGCAGACTTCATGGGAGTTAAGGTAAATTTTTATGGGGCCCATTTCTGAGGAAAATTCCTAGAGTTTGCTCTGAAGCCCCATTTGAAGCAGTGAAGAGGAGACCGAAACCTGTTTTCCATCCCTGTTTACTGCAAAGTGAGCAGGTCACGCCAGCCTGGAGGGAAAGAACTGTGGAGACAACTGCCTTACAGCAAAGGCCCAGCTATCTGCAGCATGATGACAAGGCTCAGACACAGCTCCGAAACACGGGAAGAGACTTCCAGACACACCGCCTATGGCTAAATAAGGAATGTGCCGCTGTGCCCAAGGACGACCTTTTACACATTATCAAATACAACTATATATAATAGCTATATTATATATATATATATATATATCACTGTTTAACAACAAAAGAAACTGGATTTTTAAACCCAAAATTAATAAGATACCAGAGATGGCTAATATATTTGTGAAATGAAGAAATAAGTGCCAAGAGGTTTTCAATGAACTGTTCTAAAGTTGCAGTTGCCTCTGGGGTGTGACCTGTAAGTCAACAGATGGTAAGAAAAGAAAGGGACAGAATCCCAGACACTCACTTCCACACTTAACCTTTGATCATGCATTGCTCTGGTGTTCATAGTTAGTGACCAATGAAATTCCCAAAATGAAACCCAGAGAGCTGGTAGCAAACACTCACTCGCACTATAGAGACGGCTAGAGCACAAGCTACTCTCAGTATCCAGTACATTTTGCTACTCTCTTCATCCTGTACACTTCCCAGATAAATGGTCTAGTTGGGTAATTTTAGCCCAGGACTTCCCTGAATAAAAGTGAATAATAAAACAACTCTTTCATTCTAAAAAAGTTGCCAATTGGTAGTTCACGTTACCTGCTGTGGCTCCCGTGGTTGCTCTGAGAAACTGGCTGACTGGCTTTTAGGTGATGAGGAAATAGCAAGACTGGCAGGAGGTAGGTGTTGTCGCAGAGGACAGTTCCTGGCAGTGAAGACAGTGAGCTGTGAAGTTCAAAAGTATAAAGAAGTACAAGCCAGGGGTGTAGTGGTGCGTGCCTTGGTCTCAGCACTTGGGAGGCAGAGGTAGGCAGATCTCTGTGAGTTCAAGGCTAGCCTGGTCTATAACGTGAGTTCTAAGACAGACAAGATTACATATTACATATTGAGACTTCATCTTTAAAAAAAAAAAAGGAAATATAGTTCAAATGACAAATTCCATGCTTCCTAAATCCTGAGTTCACATTTCAGCTTCCTGGGGGTGGAGCGTATTGTTGTCCACTGCCACTTTGAAACGAAACTCCACTTGCCAAATTTGCTATCATTTTAGGAATAGGCCATACTTATTTTTTTTTGTTTGTTTGTTTTTGAGACAGGGTCTCCTGTGACTGACCTAGAATACTGAAGATAACCTTGAACTCCTGATCTTCCTGCCTGTACCTTTTAAGTACTAAGATTATAGCTATGCACTACCATGCCACACTGATTGATCGATTGATTGATTGATTGATTAATTGATTGATTGATTTTGAGTTCATTTTAAGCAAGGTAGTGGTGGTGCACATGCCTTTAAATCCATCATTTGAGAGGCAGAGGCAGGCGAATCTCTGTGAGTAGAGGCCAGCCTGGTCTCCAGAGCAAAATCTAGGACAACCAAGGCTACACAAGGAAACCCTGTATGGAAAACCAGAAACAAAACAAAAAGATAATTTTATCCTTATGTGTGCATCTGCCAGATATTGTGGATTTCTGTGGAGGCCAGAAGAAGGCATGGGATCCACTGGAGCCGGAGGTACAGGTAGTTGTGAGGAAGGAACTGGGTGCTAGGAACTGAACTTATGTCCTCTGGAAGAGCAGAAAGCACCTCTAAGTGGCCCTGGTTTTAGTTTTCTGAGACAAGGTCTCTCTCTGTAACCCAAATCTCACCATGTAGGTAAAATTCTATCCTCCTGCTTCTGCCTCTCCATGATTGGGATTACAGGTATGAGTTACCATATCTTGCTCACGAATTACATTCAGGATAGCTTCAGATAATTATACATCATATTAATTACCATCTACACATATGTAGTTAGTTATTTGATCCAGAGTCAAAACATATTCACACGGTGATATCTTG